ATAACCAGCTGTTATTCCTGCCTTCTCAGCAGATTTGGACAGAAAATCATTGATCAAGAGAAATCATTCCACTGCTCTGCTATGAGCATATATAAAAAGATATTGGGAATGGCAAAACAACTAGGTGGAACCGGCCAATGAGTAAGTCAAGCGACTTACCAGTAAATTGGAATGTGACTCCAAGTGATTATGACCTATTTCAATGAGCATGTCCCTCTGATTTATACTCCAAGCATTGATTCACAACTCCACAGCACAAAATTCAGAAGCCTCAAATCGTCCTTTTTTCCTCCACCTCTATTAAACTTGCCTTGTAAAATGATCGATAATGTCGTGAACTTTATAAGGACAATTAGGTTTTTGTTCAGCATTTTATGCTCAGCAGCGACAAACTGAAGGAAGAAGCATCGTGTTCACTTTAATCGGAAGTTGTGTATCTAATTGGTCCACCAAGTGATACAAAAAGTGGAAACAGGAATGACACAAACAACAAATAAACTCAAAAGGACCTGCCAATCAGCAAAACTCAACCCTGCTAATGACTACAGGTTGCTGATGCACCGGAACGATCTGTCTATGCCTTTTTAATTGTCTGTCTTGTTAGGACTGAAGTTTAAACAATTTGTTATTAGCTGCATGTCAGACGCGAGAACATAGTGGAGCTTGGTTAAGAAAGGCTGCCTTGTGGTGTCTATTGGGATTGCAGAGAGAAGGGGGGAGGATGTGATCACATTTCTAATTACTGAATCAGGACACATCGCAAAACAAGCACCTCTTTAAATGGGTTTATTTTACCAGCATGACAACTGTTCTGATTCTATGGGCCAAACTGAGCCGATACACAGAGGTTGGCGGTCCAACCTCCTGTCCTGGGCAGAAAGATACAAGCTTGGCATGAGGCTGTGGGGAACCCAGAAGGAATCACTGTTTTTTACGGTCGATTTAATTTAAAATAAATACACAAATATTTTAAGGAGAAAACCAGACCCTATGTACAGTTCCCACACTAAAAGTTTGTTGCTAATGTCAAACTATTTATTAATGCACACATTTTTTTCTTCCTCCAGCGCAAAAGATAAATAATTCAAATCTAATACAACACTAATTATGACCCGATTTTAAATGTATGCATACACAGGGAGACAATAGTGCAGGGTTCCAGGCTGATTTAGTCAAACTCTGCTGTCTCAGTGCAACCAGAACCGTATAAGATCATCCATGCAACTTAAACTAAATTAAAATCTTTGCTTATTAGTTTCCTGAAGCAATCATTACAGACATCGTACAACATAAAGTCATTCTACTGTCTACAACAGGGGAGGCAATTTCAGTAGTTTTAACTTGAAGATACTGTATATCAGTAATGTGCTTTTTCTAAATAATCTTTTTTTTTAATTCAAAACATTAAACATTTAAATAGCAAAACACTGACAAAAGCCAGATGAACTCCCTATACAGTTCAAGTTTACTGTGATTTTTGTCCTGAATATTACGGCATTTTAAGCCTTCATGTTCAGTGAAATCCAATCTGTGTCACTGCATGACATTTTAATTTGCACTAGAATGTGCTCTGAAACTGTCCAATTGGAAACAACAGTGTCAGGAAAAAAAAAGAAAAGAAAAAAAAGTCTGTCACGGCCCTGAACTGACTACCTTTCCATGTCTAATGTATTCTCCCTCTTGTGCAGCCGGCCTTAATATTGCTCTGTGTCTGTATCTCCTTGTATCCCTGCTAATATCACAGCAAAAGGTAAGAGTCCCATGGCATATTGTCAACATGCTACCTGTGTACCTTTTGTTGCTCAGATAATAACAACTCGCACTTCTGCTCATCTCTCCTCATACATTTAGTGAAAGACAAGGTGAGGGAGAGAGTATGCGAGCAAATAAGTGACAGAAGGGTTAGGGATTCAGAACGGGGTTTTTTTCTATATCTTTTTAATCTGAAACTGATTCTGTTCTGTGCTCCATCACTTTCTTTGTCTTTCACATTAGTTACACTTACTGCCACAGAGTGGCTCACAAGTGTAGCTCCACACTGGCATCTGTTGATGAAAAATAGCATAGCACAGCATGGATACACAAACATACAAATAAATAAATAAATAGAAGACTGAACAGGAAGTGCCTGTGTTGATTTAAAATAGAACACGTGAATAAATCCAACAAGTGTAAGTTATAAACTATACATGGGGACAATTACCTCTTAACATATTAGATCCTAAACTAGTGACTCCTCTAAGGCAGTACTTCCCAAAGTGTACAGCAAGGGCCCCCCTAGGGGCTCTAAACACATTTTGATTTAGACATCAAAATGGCAACTAATTGTCCAGATGGGAGTTATGAACTTATTTTTATGGTTGATTATACGAATCTCATAAAAAACAATTCAGGTCATCCACAGAGATGTGAACATTACAAAAGTCAATTCAAAATTCACTGTTACTGGTGTTTTGTTGCATCCACAGAGAAGTCAAGGCAATCAGCTCCAACCTCAGCACAGATGAAACACCAGCTATTAGTCGCTACAGGCTAAGAAAACGGGGAGGGCTCTAGCTGTGTGTGTGGGCAGACATCTCTGTCTGAAATATGAAAACAAATATGAAGGATAAAATCAATTTTTCACATTTTCCCTGATACTGTTACTTAGGGTGCCTCCAATTGCTGCAATAATTTAGTCAAGATAAAATGGTGAAAATGAAAAAAAAAACCTCACTCTAAGCAGAGATGAGCATTCTGCAGTGTACAGCATTTACTGCCCTTGATGTTGTTCCCTCCTTGACTTAAAACACCTATTTCCAAGTGGGGTTGAATTTGATTCTCTAAATGAATTAAATAAGAATGAATGCAGAAGTGTTGAGCTTTATCTTTCAGCACAACTCCTAAAGAGCTCCGAAACTACCACCGTATCAGTTTAATGCAGTATCATAAACAATATATATACAGTTTAATGCAGTATCATAAACAATATTCATGTTGGAATAAAGAGTCCAGCAAATGTGACAGAACAATCCTTTTAAATCTGTGCAAATTAAAGCTCACCATAGCTTCAATAATTACTAAAATGGAAGGAAAAGGCATGAATACAGGTATTTAGTTGTTGAACAAATTTGTGTGGAAGTGCCAGCACAAGTGTGGTTTTATCTAGAGTGGAGTGCTAATGGGTCTCACTGTTCAGGGTGACCAGTCAAAAGCACTAGTAATGGTACTGACAAAAAATAATTGTGACATGAAAATATGAACAATCTTAAGAAAATATAAAAAAATTTGACTGATCATCAAGCAAGCATAAACACTGGAAAACATACAAGGTGGGTGTCCGTACCAATTCTGAATGCTCAGTGAATGAAGCCTTTGAGACTAGCACTCATGAACAGGCAGAGCTGTCGAAAGAACTAAGTCTTCCTAAACGCAGCCTTCACAGTGTAAAAACTGCCAAATTTTAAATTGTCCCATGTTCTGCCCACTCCCAACACATATCCGTTGGGGGCCGAGGTCTGTGGTGACAAAACTTTTAGACTGTCAGCTACTGCAACTCAATTGGAAACCGTGTTGGGTGAAAGAAAATCTCTGCGTAAATTATTTAAGGGTTCATGGCAAGTCTCTCCACACTAAGTCCAATGTTAAGTTGAAGTGAGGGATTAAAATTCTAGTGGATCAAAAGTCACGGGCACAACACCGACAGCGTAGGACTCACAGGACCTAGTTAGCCCAGTCAAAAGTCAGCTTTGTCCTAGGGGCACTTTACACGCACTTCAAAAAAAAAAGAGTACATGAGTTATTTGAGTTTCACTGAGAATCAGAAAAGTTGGTTTTTCATTAGCATTGCATTCACTAGACTAGTGTTCATACACTAGCACGGATGCAGTTGTTACGCCTTTTAAGGACAAAGAGAGAGCTGCAAGACTGGGAATATGTTGCTGCTGGTCAAAAACATAAAATGGCAAAGTTAAAACAAGAAACCTAGCTGAAAGAGTTGCTGCACAGATAGCAAATATATTTACTTACATTTTAACTTACACTGATGGAACGCAAAGTCAATACACATTTTTATAGATTTGTGTTGCATGAAGGAACATAGGAGGTCATAAACCTTTGATAAACCATTGGCATATTTTACAGCTGTAAAGTGAGATCATACTGCAAGTCATTACAATTCAGCACCACTGAACACAATAAGGACAATTGGCTGCATTAAATAAACATGACCTCAGTAAAGCAACCTGTCCACCGCACTTACAAATAATGAAGCTGATGAACATAGATGAAATGTAAAAAAAAAAAAAAAAAACATGTCAGTCACAAGTTCAAACAATCGTTCACGCCCATCGTCAACCTAAAATACATATATATATAGTTTAAAGCCTTCATTAATTGTTGGCTACAACTTGCAGTCTGTTAAGTAGCAATATTACATAAAATGTTTATTCCTTACTGCTGTGGTTGCAAGATGTTTTGTGGTCCAGCTGCGTTTCCTTAGGCGTATTATTAACAGTTACCTGCTGAAAAGATCGCCTGACTGTGAGAAACGTAGAAGTATAGATTTCATATTTTTCTCTTCTTACTAAGTAAAAAAAAATTCAAAAGACTTGCTAAGCAAACATTTTCATACTTACTTTGATGAGAAAAATTTTTTTTTTCTCCTTCTCGGAAGTAAACTCCCTTTCTTGCTTTAACAGCATGACAGCCTAATTGCATAGCAACTACCAAAAAGCATTATTATTAACTCAATAAGTCAAAAACTAGAAATTCATTACAAGAGAATTTTTAATTAAAAAAAAGAAATGCAATTATGAACAGAAAATGTAATAAGCAGTCATTCCTATTTCACAAATTTCCTTCCCAAATCAGTAAAGCACATCACTCCATCTGCTCAATTTCACTGGCATTTTATACTTGACAGATGTCCGTTTTACTTCACTGCTATATTATGTTTTGAGTGCAATATTATGAGATTCATGAAGAAAAATAAAGAGGAAGAAATCACAGCTTCCATTTACCTTCATCAAAGTCTGCATCATCTTCAGTGTGCTGGGGGAAAGGGAAGCAGTTGGTGATCTCCAGCCGGTCCTCGACTACAAGGCCCAGCAGGACCCCCTGAACCACTTCGCTTCCCTGGCCCTCTTCCTGGTAGTGCTTTATAATCTTCAACACCACCTTCGAAAACAAACAAAAGAACAATATCACTGAAGTATCAAACCACAGGAACGGGGAAAAAAGGCAGAAAAAAAGGAAAGAAAAAAAGGTAGCCTTTGTCTCTCTTTACAATACTGTTCACCAGAAACAATTTTATTTATCAAGCCTATTGTTTGTCTTTTTTTGTACTTTTTGTCATTTTCCTAGCATTGTTTGTTATTGTATTTTATCATCCTTTGATAAATGGCATTTGAGTCAGTTTTATCTCTGTTCATTTGCAGTAATTAGTTTTGCTTGTGTTGATTTTTTCTTATTAACCAGCTGGATTCTCCAAATGTGTTTCTTCATTTGTCTATTAGGTGTCGACAATTTATTATTATATTATTCCAGTCATTGTTATGGAATGGGAACCCTCTGATACATATTCGAATATACAGTATGTGCCAATCCAGTGACCAAACACCCTGTAATGGGGGTAGCTACTATTGGTGTAAAAGCTCTACTCACTTTCTGTTCAGTTGGTTGGGTTAACAGTGCAAAATGTTTGATATTTTATTATAATTGTTTTCATTTCTTTATTAAGACCTGTGCCACCTATATATGGTACCATCAAGCTGATCGCATAGCTATTGAAACCTGATCTTAAGAACTGTCAGTACTGGTCCCAACAGTGTGGGAACACTCCTGTGCAGTTGTTAGACAGGAGCTCAGTCAAACGGGGGTAGTAAAGGTCATATGTTTATTTAAGTTGTTGATTGTAAACAAAAAAATAAGCTAATTTGTATGTTTCCACGTGAAATAAAAAATATACAATTCATCAAAAAACACTCATGCAACACCAGTGCAGGCAGATGCTAAGTTAGCACTTCTTGCTGTGGTTCTTCGCCAGAGGCAGGAAAAGGTATCTTAAACGCAAGCAAACAAATAGAGGGGAAAAAAGACATTTATTAAGGATGTAATTAGGTTACAACATCTCCATCTCCCCGAGCCACCATTTTGCACTCTTCATTGGTCATCAAGCTCTGAAATAAAACCCACAGTAAATTGCCATGAAGTGTTGTTTGTTGAAGAGGTGAGTTACTCAGCCAAACACTGGCTACGCTTGAGGTAAATTGAGAAATAAGCACCACCTGTCAGCTCCAACACTGGTGCATCACAGATCTTCAGTGCTTAAAAAAGGCCAGCTAGAATTCAGCACAGTTTTGCAGATCACACAAGAGAAAGGGGATGGTTTCTACATGTATTTATTTACACACAGACAGGCTTACACAAACATAAACCCCACAAAAATGCACTGGAAATAAAAGCAGCCATGGCAAAGGGCAGAGCAGGAAAAAAAACAAAAGAATTAAATGAACAGTACATGACATGAAGCTGAAAACATAAAAGTGTGGAGGAAGAAGATAAATCATGCTGATAACAGTGTGAGCAGGTCACAGCCAGAAGCATTAATAATACACACATACATGGCAGTAAAGGGCTGGCAGCCGTGGAGGCATGCACGCAGCAAAACACATCACTTGTATGACAGAGTTCTCTCTCGCCTCCCTCGCCAGTGCGTACATACACACACACACACACACACACACACAGTCACTCATACATGTGTCCAGGGAGATGATTTATTTCAATAGAGTACTGGACCTGTCATGCAACAAGTATGAGAGCTCGGGGCAGGAGAAGGGAGACAATATGGGGTGAAGTGGGGAGAAAAACAAATCTCATTCTCTGCCTGCCTGCGTACCCGCCTCGGCTTCTCTGACTGAGAGGGGAGCGAGGTCTGAACAATCAGTTGAGGAAGGTTGATAGAGAGTGAGAAAAAAATTTAAGGGTTAGGACACAACAGAGGAGGTGATGGAAAAGGGGGAGAGAGAGGAAAGTTAGCAGTGAAAATGTAAGAGACTAAAAAGACCTGGGGGATCGCGATGATGATAAAAAGCAGCAGGCGGGCGGGCCGATCAAATATACAGAGAACGTGTGAACAAATGGCACGCAAATATATTGAATTGCTGTGTGATAATAGTGTTTACACTAAGTAATGACATACAAACTTCGATGTGAAATAACTTTACAGAAAGATAACACACAGGTGTCAGGTCACTGATAAGGTAAGTGATTCAATTCATGATAGAACAAAAACAGGGTTAGCTAATAATGTTAATAACAGCATGATAATGAAACAAAAATCTCACTAGTGTTGTTAATTATGAAGCAATGACTGTCACGGGTATTCAAAGTGACTGATGGGTATTTGTAATAATATTTGAATTTGGTGTTTCCAAAACAAATTTATCAATTTATGGAAAAAAATAACAGCATGAATTAGATGGACAAATGTTGTACCATCCGAACATTAAAACAAGGTGACGGCAGTGTGCATAGAAACATAGAAAGTGATGCCCAAACATTATGCTGTGCTATTAACTGAGTTCTGACTCTGAATCTGGCTCCAAACAATCATAAATACAAAGAAATAATAACAAAAACATTGTGCTCTGTAAGTATACTCTTATATTGCCCTGCGTCGTGAAAGATTTGCCTCGCAAAGTTCCACCCTTTCCAAGGGTAAACTCGCAAGTGTATTCTGGTAGTAAACATGGCAAGAGAAAGAGAGGAGCAGCAGGAGGAGAGAGCAGACGGAGGACCAGCAGTGTTAAGTCAGCAAGAAAAGTAAAGCAAGTTCACTGGAGTGCTGTCTGCACCATTTAGCAGCACCACAGCTTTCCTTAACCACCAGAAATCCAAACCCTGAGTGACTAACAACTAACTAATACAGAATCTAAAAAGGCAAAAGAAGCTAAATAACATTGACGTCCTCCGCATCACAGCCATCAATAAATGATGTACTCTGTAGTATAACCGTGGTCATACCAGCAATTGGTATGCTTACTGTTTGTGCCTCGCTGTTATGCACCAGGCACCATGTTCTTGAATTTAGTTACTGACTGTAATTTATTACAAATAATTTACAACAATTTTAAATACATGCAGTGAATATTTCAGTATGTTGCGGCAGTACACTAAACCACAAGCCAATATATTTTTGTCAAGAAAACTTGGTGCTAGCTTTGTCACAGGCTAACATGCATCATAGTATATATTTTATTATTGTATTTATGTTCTAATGTATTTATCATGCATTATATTTTAAATTTATACACAATGTATAAAAATAATTAAGCAGTCCTTCATTGGAAGAGACACCTTAGTGACCAGTCAACATATACATTAATATATAACTCTGAAGTGTGATGATTACTTGCTTTTCTGACAGTATACAGTATCCTTACTGTATATTGTATAAAAAACCTCAAAGTTAGCTCTATTATTTTATGCTTGTGCTAAACTTTTGCCCAGTTCCATACATCTGTCAGTTGCCTTCCCTTCCTCCTTGTATACTCACACAAGGACAGTCATCCAATTAATGAGACCATGCGAGATACTATAACCTTAGCATGACTTCACAGTGCATTTAGTCTGAGCGTGAGGAGGAAAAAGCTGCAGGAAAAAGTTGGCAGCTCTGGCCACTTTACAGCGCCCCCCCCACCCCACCACTCCACCCCCCATCTCCTCTTTTGATCTCTGGCTCCTTCTCCTGCCAGCAAATAGCTTTTTTAGTCTCTTCCATCAGCAACAGCAGATACCACAGATACACAAGGCTCTCTGCTATCTAACTCTAGCCAATCTCTTCATCACAAACCTAAATAGCATCTGTGTGGAAAAAAGGCGAAGTTGAAAGACAGACAATTGGTTAAAAACAACTACAGGAAGGTTAAGCGAATACAGCTCAGGCCTTGGTATGAAGAAACTTCTGAATGTGCACAAATGTTTCCAAAAGAGCGACTACAAATGCTTCATGTTGGAAGATGAAAGTGCAGGAATGACAATAGAAGCATTTAGTGGATCTTTTGTAATGGTGAACGGATTCTGAGAAAATGCCATCAGGTGGTGGAGACTAAAGCCTCTAAGTTCCAAAGTCCAAGGGCGCATACGTCACACGCATTACTACAGACTTAGGGTTTCTTCACACAAAAGATTAAAAAAGTGCAGATTTTTTAAGAAAATATAGTATTGCACAGAAGGTGGAGGAAATATCTACTTGGCTTCAGCTTTCTCTGTCATCTATTCAAACAGTTTTTTGGACACAGTGAAATTTTTTTAACAAATGTCTCAATGTGGACATTCCACTTGCTGTTGTCTTACCAAAACTTCAACACCATCAGAATCGATCATAAAAATCTATCACCAGCTACAGATTCCAAATATAACATATGATGTAAGAATACCCTTATACAAGAAAGTGTACAATTTCACCAATTCTGCTACACGTGTATAACTGATAACAAGGTTTCCATGCCTTACTTTCACCTCTGCTGCTGCATGAGGGACAACTTATCACATGGTTATAGTGTTAAAAAGTGGTCTTTTCTACACTTGAACTTTGCATCTTGTGCTTTATACAAATTAGTTCTTTTCTCATGTTTTCAACAGAGGACAGAGTGTCCTCTTGACAGGAGAGAGAAAGACACTCACCAACCACACAGATTACATCATGGAGAAAAACCTGCATTTTCCTCTTTCTGCTTTGTGAAATAAATACTTTTGACATTTACTTTCACTAGACTTGATGCATCCACTATTTAGTTGTTTCTTGCTTTACATGCCATTGGCCTGGACACACAAATCCTTAGAAGCTGATGTGATTGTCCAGTGATGAATGATGTATACAAATTTACAGCATTAAATTGGTCCTCATTTTCTGGATCTTGAATAATATAAAGGGGTTTGGAGAGAAATAAATTTTAATTGAATTTAATTTAACATGTCTGTCAAAATTGGCAGTTAATAATAATGCATTTTTCCCTAATTGACACAGGTTGGGATGGGACAGCCGCCGAGTCTGGATCTGTACCATGGTCCAGCATTTTGTGGGTTTTTGATTCATGTCATGGTGACTGGCTTTTTGTCCCCTCAAGTCCCCAGTGTGATTGTGTAAACATATTTTGGTCCATCTTACATGAGTAATAACTAGTCCACAATCTTTCCCTCTTTTTCACTCGTTCACACTCACTCATGTGCACTTGCACACACTCATATTGATCCAGTCCAACGGCATCCAGCCCAGTAAGTTCACCCCATATGGAGAGGCCCAAGATTGATATGTGGACAGTGCATTATAAATCAACAGGCTTAAAATTGAATCGTGCAAAATCAATTGTGGCCCAAATCCCGCGTTGCCCGCCTTTAATTCTCGTCATAAATCTTCCCCCTCTCACACCCAAACCCTCATATTGCTGCCGCGATGGGACCGCAGCTATGAAAAACTACGAGAAGAGAGACAATCCCGTAATGACTTTTGTTCTTTTCCACTGATGGTGAGTTGAACTCTACGACACTTGTGTGGCATGATGGGATATCACGACTGAACATTTGTGAACCTATGCCAAATAGAAAAAAACAACTGAAGAACACTGCATGCCAGACCCAGCCTCTGAGACCAAGTAGAGTCTTCTCTTTGTTATGTTCAGGCTAAGTTGTTACTTCGGTACAGTCAAACAATTATTAAAGGGAGCCAACAATCAAAGGGAATTGTGACTGAAATACTAAGGCAGTGTAATTTATTTCCTGCTGCTACTTAATTTAAGTAAATCTAACTACAAATTAATATGGCTATACAGTTGAACCTTTGGCCCACAGAAAAAGCATTCCCCTACCCATTAGTCCACCCTCACATCAAATTGGAACTTTTCAGGTGATTTCAAATGTTTTTTTTCTGTGGGTAATGTTGTCCAATTAATCTGAAAGATATCTATGAGGTCAAACATTGACTTTTCTTAAGATTATTTGAACCAACCAAAAGCCTCTTCATTTGGGTTCACGTAAGGATTCTCTATGGGTCACTCAAGTTCTTCCATGCAACCATCACATAAGTGAAGCTCAGTCATTCTCAAAAAAAAAGAAAAGAAAGAAAGGCACTTTACCCAACTGCCCCCAAGACTCTAGATCTGTAGGATGGACCACACTGACATTTCAGTCTGAGGAATTAGGTTTTCCTTTTACTGGAACTAAGGGGCTTAGGCTGGGGAAAAAATCCCTTACTGTCATCCCTCCTCCAAAAGACACCAAAGTTGGTTCCATGAAGTCAAGCAAGTAATGTTCTTGGTTCCTAACCTTCCTTTTTACAGAGTCAGCGGAATGTTGGAAACTTATACACACTATAGGGCTTGGCAGACGGTGACCCCACTCTGGAACTCTGCTTGTTCGGCCACTTCATGGGCTGAGTTGTGGATCCTGGATACTTCTATTCGCCCAGACATATGGGGAAGTCACGCTGTCCAGTGATATGCATGTATACATCTGTCACATGTCTCAGCTAAAGTATTGTTTGTTATTGTTGTAACATACACAGCGTACTTTGTGCAACATGGTTAAATAGTTCAATGCCTTGAAGAAAAGGACAAGTTGAGGAGGGTGAAAGCACACTTAAACTATTAAGGAATCATTTCTTTACAGTAGTGTCTTAAGTGTAAAACTAGTTAATACCAAAAACACATGAAGGCATAATCTTGAAAAAAAAACATCAAATGTAGAAACTTTGCTGTGAAGTAATAAGATTATTTTAGCAGAAGTTGGCTGTGTAAGGCAGATAGAAACACATGTTGTTACAGAGGGTATTAAGTCATCCCTAGTGTCTCAGTGTGGTACAGATAGTCTGTGACACATAACGTAGTGTGAAGACCTTTCTGACGAGCTTGTGCTTAAAGACCTGAGACAAGTGGAAAAAGCCTCAGGGCGTAAAAGGGACTGTTCTGTCACAGTGTTTTACTCATTCACATGTTCCCCCCACAAAACAGCAGAGAAATGTCAGGCCTGGGTAAAGGATGTTACAACTAATTTTTGCAACATTTTCAGGTTTCCTTGTGCCTCTGAGCTTCACCAGCATGTCAGGATGTTCTAAACAAAACACAGAAAAATCCACAGCGCACGAGTCTGACCGGTGTCTGAGGCACATCAAACGTCAGGGTGAAGAGTCTGTCCTCATATTACACACAGGAGTCTGTCTGATCTCAGTGGGTGTTTAATGGAAGCACGTTGCTTGTGCTCCTGTGGCAGCAGCCACTGAAGCCCCTTCAAAAGCAACGAAACAATCCAATTTTACAACACAGCAACAGTGATGCCATCTGTGGGCAACCCTGGAGCCAAACCTCTGACATGCAGGTCATGACGCAACACAGCAGCAACTGTTGTATATCAAGGCGTTCAGGTGAGGCATTTTTAAAAATATACATAACAAACACATCGACTTCCAAGAGGCTTCACCTAAAACCGCCGTGCAGAGTAAACGGTTCTCAAACTGGTTCTCTTTCCTCCTGTTGCAATTAAAATGTGGGGTTGATAACACTGAGGAAATGAATTAGGAAAATCTCATTAGGAGGTCTAAATAATACACGTGGAGGTGAAATATTTAGATATGAAATTAGGGCCCAGGACTCTAGGGCAGCTTTAATGAGAACGATAAAAGGGAGGCAGCAGCTGGTAAGTTAAAAGTCCTGCTACTCTGTTAGGGCACATGGGGCAAATGAGCTGTTCTGTGTCCAGTGCAGTTAAAAGCACAGGGAGGAAGCAGTTAAGTACATGGCAGTGAGGCAAGTTTGTCCTCTGCTGTCTATAAAGGGGTATTACATACAATAAATACAAAATAAATGTTAGGCTTTTCAGATTGAACTTTTCAATAGGTTTCCTGCTCATTCTTCAACATTTGGCAAAATGAACACCATCCACAGCGTCTTTTACGTGATTCCTACAACCCTATTTATACCATGATTCGGGAAACCTTAAAAATTCTAGATCTGATGTTAAGGAGTGAAAGGATGATCTGTTCTGTGACAACCATAACAACTCTTAATTAAGAAATTTAGCTAGTAGAGATTAAATTACTTGGGGCTTTTTATCAGTGAGTCAGGACTCAAGATTAAATGGGAAAATGGCTTAAGTCCAGTAACATACTTTTAAACTCTGGGTATAACATATCAAACTAATTAACAACAATATATTCAAGTTAGCGCAAAACAAATACCAAATTTCAATATTGAAAGAACAATCACATTAAAAAACATTTGCCAAAAAAGTTTATGGAAAAATAAAAAGGACACCCCTGTACTCTCAACTCCTTTCCTTAACGCACCAGATAACACGCACGTAGTTGTAACATTCCAAACAAAACAACATATGTTTAATCAAAGTGCTACGAAGGAAGTAGCACTTTGATTAAACATAATTTGACTCTTATTTCAGTGTATTTTCATTTGATAGTTGCTCGATTGGCATTCAGTGCTTTATTGTTCATTTACAAAGGAATTTTAAAAAATCCCTGTGTAATTGGGAATATTGGCTAAGCTTTCTTTTTTCTATTTTCTAGGAGAAAATATTGAGTTATATATTTTTATTCTCCTGTTTGATATCCCGCTACAGCTTACATGAAAGTCAGTCAGTCTGTTCACTGATCACGGTGCTATTAACAACACACATCGACGTACTTTCCGTCAGTGACACATCCGATTTTGCCACCTTTATAGTTCATTGATGTATTATTTGGGGTTAAGAGGGCAGCTTAGCATTAGCGGTCCGCCATGTTGATGCTAATTTCCACATCTGCTCTCGTCGAGACCGGTTATTTTTTCGCAACCGTTACTAAAATTAAATGGACGACAATAACAAAGCATTTAAGGCTTACCAGTCCTTCGATCTGGATCTGTTTGACAGGAGAGTCCAAAGTACCACCGGTAGAAGCCATCGCGGCGGTAGTTGATGATCCGGGCTCTGTACGTGAAGACATCTATAGCAAGCACACGCGGGTAAAGGAAGGACTGTATTCAGTGACGGACGTTTCTTTGTATGCGTGCGTTTCTGTTTAAGGCTCGTGCAGAAACAAAAACGGACGGACGTCCAGCGCTTTTAGCGGTAAGTAGAAAGCTTCGTAGTAGTTATTATACATTGTAATTTGCAGTTTGGAATAATGTCTAACAATAATTAAATTGTTTTATATTTCTTTATACGTCTTTAACCCTGCTCGTCATATCGTTGTTAAACATTGAAGACCAATGTTTAACAACGATCTGTTTGAAAATGTTTGTTTGTTATTTATTTCAGATGTTTTTGAGTTTTTGTTCCATTTTGCGTTAGGGAAATATGAAATCAATTAACAGGTTTATAAAAAGAGAAAACAATCCCTTTCTTCTGAAGTAAGATATGACGGCCAATAACCACAGCTGTGAAAATAAAAAATGTGCAGGTTTTAGCGCTTTCAGTTATGTATTCAATACATTTGTCATATTATGTAATAAAACTCGTGGTCGTTTAAAGTGTGATGCAGCAACTTTTGCTGCTGTAGAAACCAATGTCTTTCAACTCCTACTACTTTTCACTCAGGAAAGTGTATCCAGAGTCAATATATGGTTTGCACATATTTTACACTACCTGCCCACCAAATGCTTACATTTGTGGCTTTACACTTATTGGTCATTGTGTCTGTATGTTACTTATTTCGACTTGTAGGAACTTTCATACAGTTGATTGTGAAACATCTCGAGACAAGAAATCAAACACACCTAGTGTGTTGTTACTGTACAGATTTAACATACACATGCTAACACAGGCACACAAAGGAATACCCAGACTTAGTGAGTTAAAATATTTACAAAGGACTGAGAAACGGTTTAAAACTGAGAAAAATATGCTTGCACCTTGACCAAGTACTTAAAACTGTTTATTTGAAATCTTTACAGATTACAACAAGAAGTTACCAGAAGACTAAAAAGTTGGGGTATTGAACAAAGCTGTAACAAATACATTACCTAATTACATAATGCATAAAGGTGAATACGCATAAAAAGGTACAAAAAGAGAACTTTTTCAAGTTGAACTACCTTAATTACACATCTCAAACGTGATATTTGATGCAGGGTGAGTTCACTGACTGTGATGTGACAGATGAGCCTTTTAGTTTACATAAGAACAAGTGCAACAAGGGAAGGGTGGATGAGGTTACACTTATAACTAATAAACAGTACCTTTCCAGAACATGTTAAAAAGGGAATTCAGTGAACATAAAGGAGTCTTTAAAATCTGAAATATTTCAAGTCTGTGCTGGGCAATAGTATTACACTTAAGAATGAGTGGATGATGGGGATAAAACTAAAACATGGTTGCAAATCTGACAATTCTTTATAAATATAATTGTTTACCACTCTTCATTCTGTTTGACTGGAATGAACACTGCATGATTACATCTCTAGTACAGTAATGTTTTTTTTCTTTTTGAAAAATTTCAGACGCCTTCCCTAGTCTTGCCCTCTTCCCAGAAACAAAATGAGCTAAGAGATAAACACAAATAAAAGGCAAAAAACTTAAGTAAATTTTAAAAAAGTATCTGTATGTAAGCAGAGTGTTCTTTCAACATCTATATAAGGTGGAATCTTGGCCCAGCGGTGGCGATGATGTCACTGTAAGGCTGCGACTGGGTGACCTCGATGGCTTGCTGCTTCTTAAGGACCAAGAAACTGTAAAACTTGGCTGCTGCCTGCTTCCTGTTGTTGTTCCGACACAAATCAAGCAGGCCGACGGAGTCTGCACCAGTCTTTGCCATGACACGCTGCAGAAAGATATATGCATATATATATATATATGAAAATGTAGAATTTTCCATCACGCCATCCTTAAATCCTTCTGTATCACTACACAAATGTCTCAATAGCAACATATTTCTAGATTTAGATTTTTGCAAGACCTTAGATATTAGATTGTACAAATTAACATCCAGAAGCACAAATGAAGAATAAATCACAGTAAACTTCAACCGCTTGGGAAAAATGTTTTGGAGACAGAATATTTAATGCTACATCACCAAATGCTTTCAAGTACTCACTAAAAAATGATAACAGCAGCCCTAATGATTATAATAGGAAAGTTCAACCAGTGTATTTTAATCACCTGAAGACCGTGGAGCATCTGCTGGGTCCTCTTGTTCCATCTCTTCTCCTCCTGATCCTGGTCTCCAGCCTGACCATCCTCATCCTGGGGACCAAAGAAAGAGAATATCAGCATCTAATGTTCCCCAGGAACTCATACAGGAACCAAAAACACAGATTAATAAATTTGATTATTAAGAAGTACTCATGGAAGCTTATTTTTGCCCTTTACCTCTTCTTCATCGCTCTCGTCCTTCTTGTCTTTGCTCTTCTCACCGATCAAGTCCAGCTCAGGTACCAGCTGTGTGAGGTTGACGCTGCTCTCCTCTGGAGGAAGATCCACCTGAGGCATGTCTAACCTCTGAGACAAGATGGAGCGATCAGCCATCTGTGTCTGTGGCTGCTGCTCCAATGTAGCCATCTGCAAGAGGAGACGTGGGTGGATATCAGCACTGAGCAGTATGAATACAGAGCATCCAAAGACCGAAAATTGTATCCCCTGCATGTAAATAGGTTAAAAACAATAGGCTAACTGTTACTCACAGGTAGTGGAGCCTCTTTGTCAATGGTCTTGCGTTTCACACCGCGGGGGGTAGAGGGAGGGGGCATGACAGTCTCATCTAGGGTCGTTCTGCTGCCCTCCATAGCTGAGGCTGCCAGCATACTGGGCTCTTCCATGATAGTTTGGTCTGTGTATAGAATGTGAAAAAGTGTCAACACAATCCTTTTTTGACTCATTCCTGTGTGCAATCTGATTTGACCTCCTCAATTATAACTCACCAATAACATCTCTGTGCTGAGTCATGACCTCCTCTCGAGGTACCTCTGGGTTCTCCAGCTCTTTCAGGAACTCATCCAGACTGTCTGCTTCTCCTCCCTTTCTCCTCTTTCTCAGCTCGTCTGGCACCAGAGGCGTCAGGCAGCGCGTGAACATCTGCCATCAAAGAGAAGCAACCATCCAATTTGTTAGAAAGTAGAACTACAATAACAACGAAGATTGTTAGAGAAGACTGGTGCTAGACAAAGGGAGAGCCTGCTAAATTATACATCAGCAAATTTCCAATTCTGTATTCTGAGGGGATAATGTGGTGTGAAAGAATATGGAAACGAGAGACAAAAACCAATCGCTTCCTTCCACCTTCTGTTCCCCTGGTGTTCTCATTTTAAATCCCATGACCTGAACTGAATGTCAATGAAAGATACAATACAATAAAAAGTATCTCTATTTGCTTTTTTACAACCTTCAGTCTGGCCAACTCAGAAACTTAGAAGTCCACCATGGTTTTCTTATTGCCATTCTCTGTATGGCTCCCATCTGAATTAAGGCTGACAACAGCAAATTGGATATTCCCTGATATAAGAGTGAATTTGTATACACAATAACATATATAAACACATGCATATTTAAACGCAGCAGTGTACCTTGAGGAGTCTGGCGTTCCACAGGGGTTGGGCAGGGAGAGAAAAGAGCTTTTCCACTCCTCCGGTCTCTTTCCACATCATTAGCTTCTTAGTGGGAGGTGCAAGATCCAGGGTGGTGACAATGTCCGAGTAGTCCGACAGCTGAGCCCTGATGGTCTTACTGTCCAGCTCCTTCACACTGTCTACAATCAGCTTCCTCTTGCGCTTTGCCTTGGTCTCTTTTACTGCAGGTAGAAAAAGGTGTTCCATTTCTGCCTTCTTAAATATATACCATATTAAATCACCAGGGAACATTTAGTCTTTGGGAGAAACAGAACTTTGCTTTGTATGTAATGCTGTATGCAATTGCTCTAAATACATTTTTCCCCAAATGCATGCGCATTCTTCTCTACAACAATTAATAAATAATACAATGTGTAAGGCACAAACAGCACCATTTTGATTCATTTTAGTATTCACTTTGCACAAGTTTTTTTAGATAAAAAACATAACATGGAGGTTAGAGCAGTGGGTCTAGGGACTTCTTCAAAGTATTTTTTATTTCAAAAAGTCTATTTAAATTCTATGCAGGAAGTAATTGATGAGGCTTTAAGGCAAAAATAGAAAGCAAAAGTCTTCATTTAAACACAGCTTTTTATCTCTTTGTAGATAGACTTACCAGTGATGTCGATGGGCTCCAGGGCAAAGGCCTCTTCCTCATTGTGAACCAGAGTAGTCTGTTCTGTCTGATCAGCCATTGCTGGCAGAGGCTCTGCTGGGCCAGAGTCTGGACTGTCTGGACCAGCTACACACACACAGAATTATATTTCACTTTAACAGGTGTGGAATAATAATATCTACTTGTGCTCAAACAGTAAAAGCAATCGAATAAATTATAAAAAAGTTAAATTGGTGTACGGCTTTATATATATACATATACATATATATATAGAGAGAGAGAGAGTTACAGGTACACTTACGAGATTGAAGGTTGTCAAAGTCATCTTCATCGTCTCCATGATCTGGAGGCATCATGACACTTTCTGTGATAGCCGGAGGATCGTCAAAAATACCACCCCCGTCTTCAGAACTAAGCAGCTTATCAACTGGGAAAGGCACAGAAGGGATTATCTTTCTGAGGCAGTTTTGGGGTGATTTTCTGGCATACATCTTAAAATAACTGTTGCAGGTGGTCACTACAACTGTGACTTAAAAAAAAAAACCTGCTCACCCAACATGCCCCCGTCATTGTTGTCAATGGAGCCATCTCCAAAGTCGTCATATTCCATGTGGTTGGACTTGTCTGGCAAATTGGCTGGACCAGGCTCAGCTTCCAACAACAGGTTAGAAGCTGTGGCACCTCGCATGATATCGTCCTCAAACGTGCTGGCATCACGCATCATTTCCCTGTCGTCCATGCCAAAGTCAGCTGTGGGGAACATCAAGTCATTTGTAATTTAAACCACAGATAATATTAATTACATTTTGTGCACTAATAATTAAAATAACAAATAAAATACGTTATAATAAAATAAAGACAAAAACACTCCGTATGCATTCAGGTAAGTACATTGTATTTTTACCAAAGTCATTGTCCTGCAGGAGACTAAGGTTACCAACATCCTCCCTCATAGTGATCTCTTCTACTCTGCTCTGGTTGAGGGTGAACTGCTGAGCAACATCTATGTCACTGTTAAGACAAGACAAAAAGAAAAGAATATCAGTGATAAGGTAACAAGTAGTACTTTAAGTACAAACCAGACTACATAGTACTTGAAACCAAAGAAAATATTTTGCAGGCAAGATAAAAACCCAGTTGCTCAGTGTGGTATTTAAAAAAACAAACAAAAAAAACCAACACATTTAAACTTTTACAAACACAAATACTTTGTCATTAACTTACTCCAGATCAGGGAGTGGCTGATCAAAGTCATGGAACTCCTCCGGTAAAGTAATGGCATTGTAAGCTGCTTCTCTGTTTTCCTCAGGGAGATCCACTACACCTGAACCAAAAAAAAAAAACAGTATATAACAAAGAAAACACTGATGGCCTCATTTTATTTTACCTTCTCAGACAATACTGGTCTCCAAAAAATATTTTATGAAAGAAAATTATAAAACACCATACCTGGCCTAAAGGCCATTTTGATCTTGATGAAGGCCTCATTACAGTCTGCAAGCAGGTACTTGGCCTTCCTGTGGTAGATTCTGACCACTCCAAGAAGCAGGTGACCAGATGTACGCAGCGCCATCTTTACCTGAGGGAAAAGGAAAATAATCAAATCTATTTATACCAGGTTTATATGTAAAATTGCTTCTTTTTTAAATAAATAAATAACAGTATCTGTTTAAAGTACATATAACATATCCAATGAACATTAACTGAAATCCAACACTGGTTTATATTAACTGCTGGCTCAAAGTCACATAACAAGATAGGGGCACACAATACCTCATCTTAAATGGAAAGCAGCAACTGAAGTTTTCTTACCTTGGGTGAGATGATGCTTTCCACACTGCTCTCCAAGTTGCATTCAAAGACATGAGCTTTGGTCAGCTTCTTGTCCCAGTGGGCCGCTAGCCAGATCTTGGCCAGCGGCCCACGTTTACTGAGGACAAAGTGGGCGTAGAACATTGCCCTGGTTCCCCTGGCTCACACTCGCACTTCTTCTTTCTTAGGGTTGCCTAAATAAATAAATAAATAAATAAAAAAAAACAGAATAAAAAAAAGCTAGTAAGAAAAATATCACAAGACAGTAACATTCTTAAGGTATAGTCTGGCTGATAAAAACACACTGGTTGTAGAAATGGGTATTTCTAGTCACACTTGTCAAATAGTCTTTATTTACATGGTCCAAGGACAGGACAAAATATTTAGTGATGTCATCTGCAAAATAATATAGATATTTTACATTTACATTTTAAAAATCTGAATGAAATAAGAATAGTATGATTAAATGTTTAATAACCAGACATCATGCATGGATCGTACATGGACGGAATTAGAAGAGACAATGGTAAGAAAATATAATCAGATAGTTGAAATACATTTGTCACGATAAAATGTCTGATTATCTTATCAAAGGTGTTCGTGTGTCATTGAAAACACTGGAGAAATGCCTAGTTTTGGCTAATATAAACTAATGATGACTATTATATACACCGAGTTGAGGATCCATTGCATAAAGGAGGCGCGATAACAATATAGAACGTAAATAGATTTTTTTAAGGTAATCAAAACAACCACCAACTTTATTAAAGTTACGCCTATCTCCCAGTCCGGGAAGCAAACATTGGTCATGCACATGTCCGCCTACAGTAACCAATGCTTTTCCTGTACCGTCGTCCAATGAATCATAATGTCCTAATCAACACCGCTATTTTTTAATCATATAATGGTGTAGTATTTTTTGCAAATATGGCATCAATGTATTTATTGCGCCAAAAGGACGGGTCGACGCCAGCAAATAGTCGGCGCCATCAACTTAAGTAGCCACCAGCTAGCTACTGAAAGAGAAAGATATTATAGCTTTTCCGTCTAAGCAGATAGTTATACTGCGAGTTTTACGAATTAAACACGTGCATTTTTTACTCGAAATAAATGAAAATTAAAAAAAAGAACGTCTCAATTATCCAAACCTATACATTTCTTACATGTTACAGAACGAGTTTTGTTAACTGTGAGCTAATGGCTTCCAGTACAGTGAAGGCCACAGCGGATAGAAAATAATGGTGCATGCTTATTTGGTTGCGTTTAATCCAGGAACACAGCAAATGTGTATTAGCGGTGCAGTCGCACTTACCCGCGTTCCAACTTTGAGACGAAAATTCCAATGATTACGTTATTCCTGCCAATGTTCTCTTCCCTGTTGTACTCATTAAAAAAGCCAAGATGGCGCCACTCGCCTTCCTCCCGCTCAGCGCAGTCCTTTTAAAATCGACAGGATGTTTACAGTCAAAAATGGCGGAGGAGGAGTCTGGGCTGGGGCTGAGCCTACCAGCTTGCCTGCTGTGAGAGGAAATAGGATGTAGGGGGCGCCGTGGCACAGGGTTTGCCGGACGTTAACCCGATACGTTCAGAAAGACGAAGCAATATCAGGTAACAACAATGGTTCAAGTATTATGGTCAGAAAAGACTTATGTAGGTCTTTTTTCATGGTCTCGGTAGGTCCCATGTCTCTTTTGGTTCTATGTGCATCGGTGTAATTTTAAAATCTGCCACATTTCATGTTCACAATCTCTATACGCTGGTAATTATACATGTATTCTATTTTATAATTGCATTCTACGGTATTCTCTCCAATTGGAAAACATATATATTGGAACGATTATTGCATTTTTACGTCACTAGCTAGATGGAGTTTTGCCTCTCAGTGTTCATCAACATTGTAGTTGAACACCATTTTCTTGTAAATCAACATACGAGTTTGAAAAAGTTATGCCATCTGCTCTTTCCTGCTATCATCATTCACTGTTGGTCATATTCAGTGTACACCCTGGACTACTCTCTTGTTCCATATAAAGAGACAGCAACAAACAACCATTCACACTCACGCAATACCCATGGTTTTATTTATCCACTGAACGTTATTCTTCATGTTTAGTATCCAGATGTAATCCAAGCACATGGGAAAACAAGCAAACGCCACACAAAAGACCATCAATTACCTCCAGGATCAAACTGCTTTTCTTGCTTTTAAACAAAAGACCAAAAAAAAGCCCTTTTCCAGTTATTTAATATTTTTTAAAAGAAAACAGCAGTTGACATTCCAGGCAAAGACCCCCAGGGGCGCTTCAAAGGTTTAAACGGAGCTGCTATAGTCACTGTTACATACTGTACACACATAATTTAGAGCAACAAAGCAAAAGTATAAAAAAAATAACATTGCACAAGAAGGAGAGCAACATGCTGCCAACCAAACTAAAAAAATCCACTCAACAACATATTCCATTAGCAGTGAAGCGAGGCGACATACAAGCTACAAAACCAATTTCAGAACTGTGTATTAGATGCAGAGATGATGGAGAACATGTCTGACAGAGGTACTGACTCATTTACAGTCAAATTGTGAAATTTGTATGCGGTAGAGGCGATTTGTCTCACAGGCAACAGCATCTGTTGGAGTTGAACAGCTGCCAGATGAAGGTGTTTATGATTTATCAGCAGCAGTTCTGCATGACCCAAAGGTGCAGTCGATGCTAAGTCACTGTGGTACCATGCCATCAGTGGAAAAAGTAACGTTGCATAAAATATTACATAAACAGCTGGTTTAAGAATTATTTGGTCGCAGCATTTAGGGAAACGTGCCATGACTTTGATATGCTCCAAAAAAGCTTACGCACATATTTCATCATTACAGTCAATAATTGATCTGTGCCGAATGTAGTGCTGAAAACGAGCAGCTGTACAAAGGACAACATTCAATTTTAAATGGTGTTAAATTAAAAATTGGATGGAGATACTTGATGTATTGCATCACTGATTTATGAGAGTGTTAAATCAGTCCCTTTAATGCAGGCTCCCAGTGCTTTGTTTGCAGCGGGAACTCAATGTTCATGTAGCACAGCCATAATTTCGCAATCCCGTTTGGTAAAAAAGAGACAATTTTATGCTTAAAGCTTACAGTGACAGTGTGGTAAATGGTTTCGGAGGAGCCAGTGTTTTTGTAGCACTGAATTTTCTCTTAACCAGGCATGGATCACTAACAGTCACCATGGAAAAAAATATACAAAACCACAATGTACAAAATAAATCACTCTGCATCATGTGTGTGGTTTCGTTAAATATGATATTTAAGAATGACATCAGGGAATCACTCAAAATTAATTTGAATGTTTTGTCACATCTCGTAGGTGTACAGCTCCACAGAACACTGGAGCTCTGCAGGGGCTGTACGATATGTGAATGATTTAATTCTTTGTTTTATTGAGAAGAGTTTAAATGCTGTTAAGAGCACTCTCAGCACTAGACTGTTGAATAACTGTTGAATCATGTTTGGCCCCAAACTTAGACTGTGTTAAATGTTGACCCCTTGAATGACTGAGTTTGATACCCCTGCTTTACAATAAAGAACAAAATACACACTTGGAGACAGCCTTTTTTAAACAAAGATTTTAATTGTTTTTTGTTTTTTAGTTTAGAAAATTATTGGGGGTTTTTTATTCTTTTTTTTTTTTTTTTTTACAAAAAGTGATTTTTACCCTTAATCTGTACCCAATGACTTTTAATCCACCTAGAGACTGCAGTTACACAGTAAATTAAAGAAGCAGGCAGTGATTAGGTTCAGACAATGTGGATTCCTTCAGTGAACGTGTGAGGATTCTGCTGGAGGTGCATTCCATGTATTACTATACCTGCCATAATAAAGCAGATAGGTATAGTGATGCAAGGCAGCACACCTGTCCGTCAGAAAGGTTGCAGAGAAAGAAATACAGGCAGGAATGTCTTGATCTGATTCAACGTTCAGGTAGAAAGCCATTTGATGTCACTGGCTACTGATTAGAAAACCATAACACAAACAACTACCACAATAAAAGAATAGAAACCTGTTTGTTGCACCAGGCAGATGAAAAGGAAAACAAGAACTTGTATTTCTTCTCAAGGCACATCAATATGTAACCCCTGCCCTCCAAAAACAAAGGAAAACAAACAAATACCTTCCTACATATTGCACCAATGTGGTTCTTTGTACGATGATGTTCACTGTTTAGTAATACTAGGATTGTTCATTTGCAATCAAGCTGCTGTTTTCTTCCCCACTTGGAGATGTGCAGCCTGTTTTGATTTGTCAGTCTCCCACACATACGTATACACTCCCTGTTAGTTCCTGTCACTCACTTTATTTAGTAAAAGCATAAATCAGTTAACAAAAATATGGGAATGCATAGCATTCCTCATTTTAAATGAAAAAAAATATATTTACAAAGGGAAATCACAATCAATCAAATGGCACATACATGGGGTTGAAGAACGACTATGAAGCTCAGCAGAGCTGGTTATTCACCCTGCCATTAGAGGCAACAGGAGTAACAGGACGAGGACGAGGAGGAGTCGTCGTCCTCATCTGAGTGTGGGGTTGATCTTGACTCAGAAGTCTGTGCACACTTCATATACGACCTTGACATTAATCGAATTAAACCATCTGGTCAGCGATATGTAAAGGGAACAAAAAAAATACAACAATCAACTTAGACAAAAACTTAAACAACTGAAGCAACGTTGATTTTCAAGCTACAGTATAGAAACCAGTGAAAATGTCACTATTGAGGTTACAGAAAATCAGATTGGACACTGGTTTTCTTTTGACACATTGCTGTGACTATCCTCGACAGAACAGATTTCCCTGCCTTTGAATAACAGCATATTTCTGTTTCTGAAAAAAAAAAAAAAAAACAGTTGTAATTTTTTGTAGTTGTAGTTGGGATAACGTTAGCTCTTTATCTGACAGCATTAGGTGTCATCTTGTTCTTAAGTGGTTGCCGTGTCAGCCCCTATTCTGTTGCTGGTCGCCGGACAAATAAAGTTGGGTCATTAAAATGTAAATGTCAAGACTTGAGAACATCCTAAGTTACAAAAGAACTGCTAAAAATTGATCAATTATCTTACTTTCAGTGAATTGATCAGCTCAACTGGTGAAAAGGTCAGCCTGCCCTCAACCAAGACCAGGATTCTGTTGAGCCCATATTTGTTGTTTAGGTCAACACTTTTTCAAGTACTGAATCTATCTTATAAATAAAGAAGAGAAAAACAAACTCACAAATTTGCTAAAAGTTTAAGAATGGCACATGAGGAAAATTTCGTTTTTTCAACCACATAATTCAAATAAGAAAGCAGCAAAATGACGGCGCTTTTACGGCACCTTCTTCTGACTCCCGTATCCCAAGTAGCATTAGATAAACTGGAGGCACTGTGAAAATCAGATCAACAATGGTCGTCATTCCTCTAGTTCTACCCACCGTGCTATTGGTTTTAAGACAATACAGAGAGAGTAGTGCTGGCCAATCATTAATTGTATAAAAAATCCAAAATAGTGTTATCCTTTTTCATAGACATAATTATCAATAGATTCTGTCAGCAAAAACTCTCAGGAACCTGTGCATAGTGTACAGATCAGAACAGTCAGTCTGGTTCAGATGAACTGGTTTACCACCATGAGGACACGCTGAATGAGCTCCATGGATTTGACCACTTGAGTCATGCCGTTACTTGCCACGCAGATGTTGTTAGACACAGGACAGAGAGTGGGTGCTGTGTCCTCAGCTGTCTGTCCAAACAGACAAGAGAAGGAGTGCAGAGGAGAAATGGAAAAATGCCATAACAGAGGGGAAAACTGGATGTTTTGTTCTCATCTGAACAAGTGTATTTTCCTCTCCTCCTCCTCGTCCACACAATCACATTACCCTCTCCGCTGCCTCACCCATGCAGTCACGGATAGACTTTGCACCCCCCCCCCTCCCACTCTTCTATTTCCTGTAGTCCTGTGAGCAGGAGGGGCACTGGAGCGTTATAGTCTCTCAATGTCCCGGTACTTCTTGCGCAGTATGGACACCTGGTCTTTGAACAGTACTGGGTCCAACCTCATCTGAGAATGGACCAGGGGCATGGTGCCAAACCAGCTGGCAAACTTGTTCATGCAAGTCTGACGCTGGGCAAAGTGGTCCGGGTCAGCCCAGCGAGAGGCCCGGGAGCTCTGGAGTGAGAATGAGACAGAGATTCAATCAGACAAATGGAAAATAAGGTGGAGAAAACCTTTTATTAAGTAAGTTTAAGTTTATTCACAATATTTTCAACTCAAAGTTGCCAATGTGTGTTTTGCTCTAATAGCTGATAGTGTGCAAGTCTCCTTGTAAACCAAATCATCCTGAACTCCTATTAAATATTATTTGCCAAATCCAAAGCAATACTCCAAAGGATGTTTGTCGTATTATGCTGTGAATATAGGACATGTGGACAGAATGAGTGACAACCAAAAAACCAAACTCAATATCTCTGGGAAAAGTCGTCACTGCAAACAGATCAGACAGAATCAATTTCACAGCAGAGTTGCACGGTCTCACCTGGCCCATCATGGTCTCCTTATACTGTTTCTTCTGGGTGACCTTGATGGGTGGTAGTTTAGTGACAGACGACACCAGAAAATTCATCAGAATGTCCTCGCAGTTGGACATCTGGTCCACCATGCTCTTCAGACTGTTCGGCAGGTAGCTGGTGTATAAATAGTGGTAGTATCTGTGATGAAAAGTCATAAAAGTATTATTGGAGTACACCAGGAAAAAAAGAAGCTGAATGTTGAATAATTAAATTGTATTATGGAAGGAAAATGGTTTGAGGATCAGTACTTGTGATAGATGGCCGCTCCAGTCAACACCATGGAGTAGTCATTGGTCCATTTGGAAGTGTAGCCCCATCGCTCCTTGTTGCTGTCCCAGAAATGGCTGCGAGCAGGATAACCAATAATGCGGTCCGGAAAACTCTGCCACACTGTGAAGGCAAAGTCCACCTGGACAAGGACAGAACCAGAACAAACAGATAGAGGGACAGCAAACATGAGACCAGGAAAGTAGGAGCACATGACTTCTAAAATGTACTTATAAAATTCAGTGTTTCCATTCTTTGCTTGAAAGTCTTTTCCAGAAGCTTTTAAGCTGCTACAACATTTCCAGCAGACGGACAGTAACGGTCTGCCTGTTACTGTTCTTTAAATAATGAACATCTTAAGTGTGTCAACCTGCGGGGCACTGCTCTTTTTTAAAATAAACAACAGCTGAAGTTATAATAGTCCATAAGTTTATAAACCCATCAGGCTTCTCTGCTGAAGTCAGCTTCATTTTGGTAATGGCACTACGACTGATGCCAAGCACTTTCCTCATCAGTGTCCAGTCTGTGGCAAACCAAGTGAATGACCTGGATCACTTTGTAAAAGGACTACAGATGGTCATGAATCCATGCTAGGTTTGTATAAAGGACAAGGCTTACAGCAACAGCAGCGCCACACTATTTCCAAAACAAAACGGACTTCAGCAAAGAAGATAGATTCTATTTATAGTTGCTTGCATTTTCTCAAATTGCAGGGAGGGACAGTGTTTCTAGGACATTTGACATTTGACTGAAAATTCATTTACGGTCTCACCTCTGTGGTGGAGAGAACGGTGTCCTCGTCCAGACTCAGCACAGCCTCAGTGGGGATGGTGTCATAGGGCAGGAAGCGGCTGCTTATCACCTGGTTAGGTTTTCAAAGAAAGGAGATATTTTGACTACATTTAAAATGCATTAAGACACTTTTCACATGCAGATCAAGTCGACTAATCCGTGCGTAAACAGAAGTCTTATCAGCCTTTGCAGACAGGTAATTCAGCCTGGGAAACAGCGACCTGTTTCTCCCCGTCTGTTTGTGCCACAGAGCTGTTTCATCTCGCTGCACTGACAGCAGAGTCAGCCAAACATACACGCTGGCATTATGCCAATGGCAGCAAAATGCTGCATTTTACTGATGAGCTGAAACCACAGATAGACATCTACAAGCAGCGCAGTGTGTTTAGGCTACCGACCGAGCCCTGCAGCCTCAGCTTTTTGGCATTTGAAATTGCAAATACCTGCATAATACACAAAGAGAATGTGGTTTTAAAAGTTGGCAACATTTGTGCTTTATTTTAAATTTCAGTTTCAACTAAATATACAAGGGTTTTTATTCCCGACAGTGGAGAGACAAGAAGACTTTAGACTTAAAAAAAAATAAAATTAAGCCTGGGTTAAACAAGTCATCAACATGTCACTGCTAATCCCTACGTACTGCACGTCACTCAAACTAAAATATGTAACAGTTAGGGGGTTTCAGGCCAACTACATGTTTAATTTTGTGAGGCTGTAGAATCCTGTGGAGTGTTGTGAATGTTTACGATATGCAATATTTTCTACACTTGTAATAGAGTCGACGCAGAATTCAAATTATATTTTGGAGGGGATTTGGGGGTTTAAAAGATCCAAGAGGCGCATAAAACTTTTTACAGTCTTAACAGTGTGCACATAATTTAACTTAATTGTTCACACATTTATGAGAGTAGAGCAACCTGTCCAATTACTGAGTCTCCAAATAAATTAACAAGTGAAAGAACGCGAGGAGAAAATCTGATGTAAAAGCAGTAGTTAGAAGCTCTTAACTGCCATCTCGGAAATGCTGCCAGGAAAATACTGCCACAGGTTTACTGATGTTTTAGTTCACGTGTCAATTTGAATTTAATTACAGTCTTTACATTAAAAAATACTGTCTAAGTATAATTCCCCACAGAGGGTGGGAGGCTGAGGAGTTTACCTTGCTTTCTCCCTCGATCACAACGACTGGGACTGAGGTGACAGGCCACCGGTACTTGGCAGGAAGCGGTTTATCACAGTTCCACAGAACTATTACCTGCACAAAAATAGATGAAATCACTTTCATTTCCACAAGGGGATTAACCTGTGCACTAGTGTCTCTTCACAGACAGAGAAATATGATTGAAATAAAACATCTTTATAAATGCCTTTTTGAAGAATATAACAAAAGCTTTTTAAGAAAAATGTGTATTTTCACAAATAATAAAATGTGTTTTCCCATGCTGGATTATGGCATTTATGTAATTTATCAGCAGCAATATTTTGAAAGCCTTTACTGCAGGTTTTAGATTACAAAACTTTTACATTCTCGTCAGTAGTATTTTTGACCTGGGGTTTGTACAGGTAAACAAGATTTGTGAACGTTTCGTTAAGTTCTTTTGCCATATTTCACACCCTTCGACACCTAGTAAAGGGTTCGTAAAGGGTTAATATATGTACATAATATAATGACTACCGCCTCTCTACTTTGCAGTTTTTCCATCTATCGTCTTGAAACGTAACCCCCGCGATACACCAGGGACCACTGCACTCATGTATTTTTTTTACTGGCCAAATGCCTGGAACTTTAACATTGTAAATTTGTCAAAAACACAACAAGTTTCATTCCTCATAAATAAAGGTACTACAATATTCCCGTAGTGTGTGGGTGCAGAAAGGTTTATTCCTCAGTCCAACATCTAAAACTCTTAATACCGGAGCTAGTGTGAGGGGAATGTTGAGTTTTTAATTACCTGAGCACAGTACTGGGACTTTGCCATAGCTACGAGCAGCTTCATGACAGGCTGAGACTGAGAGACCAGTGGTGTCACAACGTGGATAATCGCCGTGAACTTCGGATAAGGCTTGATACCTGGGGGGAAGGAATGAGTAGAACTAGAATAAAACTACTTTCTATTGAATTTAGTACATCATTCCTACAAGTCTTTCAACAATCAGAACCAATTTGTGCTATTCCAGCCACTTTCAGCATCCCTTGAGATGCTTGTCGACTTGTTTACTTGCCCGGCACACCTGACACAGAGTGAAGCTGTACGCTCTAATTAGACCTGTACAAGAAAAGCTGCTGGGTAAGCAAATCGCAAAGTCAACACCGAGCTGCACATGTTCACAGTTAACCGAGCGCAAACACATCATCATAACATGGCAGGTGTTATTTGTGAGATGGTCTGAACTAATAAAGATATACTGTGGCATTTGTGTTACCTAACATGGACGCAACAGCTGCTACGCACCAGATGTTTCCACTCTGTGTCTTAATGAAAACAGGCCAAAATCAAAACTGGAGGAGAGCTGTTAACGTGGTGCTTTGTCTGCTGTGAAGCACCGGCATGAATAATTCACTCACCCAGCTTAGCGTAGTAGAAAGGGAAGTCTCCCAGGTACGTGGAGTAGTGAGGGAGAGTGAAAAGACCTCCAGGCAGACTGTTCCACATGAGGCTGCTCCTGGAGGTGTGCCGTAGAACCCTGTCCTGGATGATCTGCAAATAGAGAGGAAGAGGAATTTTACTGTTTGAGGACAATGAATCATGGAGATAGTCACGATCAGACGTTATCCCCAGGGTGCTGTTCCCATTGTATAGTTTTTGTAAGTTTTTTATTTATTTTAAATACCATAATCTGAGCTAACCTTCTTCAGTTTCCTGACATCATAATGAATTAACAAACACTAAAATGACACTAAAATAAAATCTAAATCAGTGATCCTCAACTGGCTGGTCAAATCAGGCCCATTGAAAGCATCCAATCTGGCAGATAACTGGATTCCAAAATTGTGACAATCAATGATAAATACTGTGTGGTCCCCTCTATTAAAGCAACTGAAAAAACAAGTTTCCAGTGTGATAACATGTACAGCTTCTGACTTGGAACATGAAAAAAAAATGCTATCAAAACATTATCTTAAGAAATAACTTGTATTCTTTTTTTTCCATTCTCAGCTAAATCACAGGTCAAATGTTGAGCCTGATATCACATACGTTGTGTCAGCAGGCTTCACAGGCCCCCAGCATCAACTGTCTCCATCTCCAGCAAGGATCTAAGGTTGTTACAGCGCCAGATGAAACCGCAATAAAATATTAAACAGTCTCAGGAGCTACTGTGTAGCTGCAGAGCAAAGAAAAGCTGGTTTGCCTTTGTGGGATTCTGTGCAGATAAACAGTTTTCTGAGCTGCAGCAACACCTCGCCTGTGTAAAATATTCACAATCCCTTCCTAGAAGATGACTAATAAATGGGGTTCTACCAAAACCAAAGACCGAACATGCAAGTCTCCTAACAAAGAGGGTAAAAGACGGCAAGGAGTGTAAACAGATTGAAGATCGGCTTCTCAGAGCTGTAACTCTACCCTGCCGACAGTGAAATCCCAGCTCTGCCTTCTAGCACGCTGACCTAATACCTTTGGCTCAGGCCTCTGTAACACAATCTGAGGACAACAACTGACTGACTGACTGTAAATGGCTTCTGCAGAAGATCCTACTGTAAATGTAACAACTGAAAAAACGTACCTCTAGCGTGGTCAGTACGATTTTTTCCACAGAGTTGAAGTAGGCCTCCCACAGGAACTGAGTCTGCTGTCTCAGAGACAGGATCTTATCCTGGTGAATGGAGCGTACCGTTGAAGGGATCTGAAACAAAGGTCAAGAGGTTACACAACGTGTCCTAGTCATCATTGTTAGAGTATAATCTACTTACAAAAAGACCTGAGTAAGTACATATTAAACACAATAGTACATGCCTTGAAGTTACCCGACACACCTTCAAGTACTTTGTATCAGTTACTGCACATGTATCCACACCTGTAACAGCAGTCTTTCATCTCCAATCACAGCTGCCGTATTCCAGTTGATGATCTCCGAGAAAGGAAGCTCCCAGCCGTTACTTAACATCACAGGCACACAAGCCGCCTGTGAATGAAATGTACAGCACACACACATGCAGGTTATCGACGTGAAGTATAGTCATGAGGTGGTCTCTTTTACATAATAATTTCATGAAGAGTAAAGGTTTACTGTAAGGCTGTAGTGCAGCAGCATATTTGTTAGTGCTGAGTTCCTGATGACATTGAAATGTTAACAATCAGGTTGTGTCTGGCCTGCATGCGTCCGAGGGTCGCACGCAGTCCACACACAATTTCAGAGTGACTCTGTTTTAGGTCATCTGTAGAGAAAAACAGAGACAATTCCCATTTTCAGGGAAAGATACATTTCTACACTAAAACAGACCATGACTGCCACCCACAATGCAATGCAGTGCTGGCAGTTCTATTATTCACTAGCATATCCCTAAAGCAGAAATGTAAACTCTTTAAACTCAGTTTTAGTTCTTTTGATGTGTTTTGCAATGAGTAAATGTATTGAGGTACTGAAACGTTTTTATGTTTATTATGTTGTTTTTATGATTTATGATGTTTTGGTCCTAATTGTAGTTTCCCTCTCCCACAGACCGTGTTCAGCTAAGCTGAAGTTTTTGGTTTGAAAAATTGAATTTTTACTTGAACAACCCCAATATTAATCCTCAGGACCCTGAAAGGGATTAGGCAGTGGCAAATGGAAGGATGAAGAGAAAGACTACAGTATTGTAACAACCAATTCTAAAAATGATCATTAAAAAAAAAAAAGTTCATTATAGTTTATTAAGTCAGCAGAATACATGTAATTTTTGCAGGTTCATGTGTGTCTGTGTTGCCTTGTCAATTAAACATCTATTGTAAATGCATGTGCATGAGTCTGTCATAACTTTATGTGTGGTTGTTAAACTGTCTGTCAGCTGTCATACACTATTAAAATGAGATTCCTAGGAGTCGTAGGAAACATAGGGCAGTCATGCACATAGACTGTATTTATCTGAACATATTGCACACATACTGGTTTAACCAAGTTTGTCACAGGCTCTCTTGGCTAATTAGTGAACAACCTAACTCATGGTTAAACCATGTAAACGTCTCCACTCGCTGCACTGCCTCACCGAGCCCTGCCAACCCTGTTGGAATGAACACTCCACTGAGCCGCTGAGTCTAATGCAGCTGGCCAGTATTCAGCTTCCTCAAATTCCCCAATTTCTGCCTGCCCTCCTTGACTCCTCTGCTCCCCAGCATACAGCTGTGTGTGGATACGGACTTTAATATCTCCAGGCTGCGGTCAACTTGTGCAGACCAGCAAACCACTGCAAACCACCTCAGCTGCACTGCGCTCTCACCCTGTGCTGACCTATAATCAGTCTTTCCATGTCCCCCTCCTTACTCACCTGTGTTGTAATTATCTCCTAATTACAGTCAGTATAGATTCACAGTTTGTCATCTGTAGTCAAACTTACTTTCTATTAAAACACATCTCTGTCCAGTATATTGTCCTGCTGTTTTGGTTGTTTTTTCCACTTAACCTGTTAGGTCAAATGTTAACCTTTAACATTTGACACTGTTTTGTCTTAGAGAACCTAAATATTTAGATCTCCAATCAGGGAACTTTGGATAACACTACTGAGTTCACTGTTGACTTTTACCATAGGTGGGATAAAATACCTGTAATAAATACAACAGCGACGCTACTATTTAAATAAGCAGGCTAAAGAGATCTACTTAGACTGAAAATGTTGGGATCTACTCGTAGATCCGGATCTACAACATGATGATCTCAAGTGATTTTATATGATCATAATAGTTTCACTAAAGTGAACAAAAATGTCTGTTTTTCCCCAGTGTATATTAACCAAACTATGTGTTCTGTGACTGAGACCATTAAGGATGATATTTATACTTTTAAGATTAATTAACATCAGTTGATTAGTTAGAATGACATTTCACTATTTGACATTTCATTTCAATTTCATTTAGATCATGGTAAAAAAAGTGCTGCCAAGAACAGGCTGTGAATTCTGCTGTTGGTGTTTGGCCCACAGCAACACAATTGCCAGTCACAAAAGAACACAAAAATTCTGGAGTCATGAGCAGCTGAAATAGGAAGCTCGCAAGTCGTGGGTGAGAGAGTTGGTGGGAATAAGTCAGTACGTTAAGGTGTCTTTGTATGTTTCTAAATAACGGCATGCAAATCTAATACTTCTCAACTACTCGAGCCTTCTCACAGTGTGAAGACACTCTTTGTTAATCACTCAACAATAATGACTAATGTCGTACGTCTATGTCGCTCACCTGCAAGGCTTCTAAGAAGCGAAAGGAACCGAGCCGTCGTCCTCGAGGTACCAGGCAGAACGTGGAGTTGTACAGCATCTCTCTGTAGTCATACCTGCAGTGTAGAAGTTCAATTGTGAAAAAATATCTTTCAAGACCAGCCCTATTTATAAAAATATCAGAAAAATATTGCCAGAGTATTGGGAAACAAAAAAAAACAGAACTAGAGATTTTTGGTAAAGATCATGGGAAACAGAGTCATGTTTGATGTATAGAGCACCATCATCGTAACATGAAAGAGTTAATATTTGATTGGCATAAAAAGCACTTAGATTAATCACTTACCACTATTACTTTACTTTTCTTACTAATATAACATCTTCTAATAGGACTGCAACACAGACCAGAACAACAAAACACCTAAACTATTAAACCAGTAATTGTTTTCTCCTTCAGGAAACGTCGCTTTTTTTCTTTTTTTAAACTCTAACCCACTCTTTACCCACTTCAAACCCAATGCCCTCTCTTACCTGCCCATCTCTGAATCACTCAATACTACCTCACTGCCTCCCATCTAATCTTACCCTCAGTCAGCACCACCTTGGATTAAGGAGCTGCTTGGAATTCTTTTAGCATGTGTTCATTGAAGGTTTTGTCTGCTCTTACATTAGACCGATACGTCAAACTGATTCTATGACACAGAATGGGAAACATGCATAGAGTCATTCTCTTTCAAACCCTTTCTGATTTAAAATTATATCACTAAAAAATGTGCGTAATGTAGAATACAATCTTTATAACACCAGGGTTGGTTTACCTTATAACATATGTGTAAACAGGATTGACTTTTATAAGATGTATCAACAGTAGCAGTAGTAGAATAACAAGGGAGTTGTTTGGGATGCATCGATCTTTAAATGATTTCTGTTCTAAATTACTGTATGCATTAATTTCTCTTGGAATCTTTGTTTAAATTAAATACTAAGCAGACGAGTCCTATGCAGAATAGGGTTAAAATGACTATAATGCAGCTATGCTTTTGAATGATTAATGGCTTTAAAAACATATCTATATGGATAATCCTACTTACTTGGAGAACACATGGCATTTAAAATTACACTCACTTCAGCGACTTAAGAGAACATTAGCGATCACAAAAGCATAAAAGCTTAATTTGAACCAAACGGCATGCAGGGAAAGACACCATTATGTTGAAAGAAAAAATCCATTATCAACATGGACAATAACCATTAATCCTTGCTATTGCACGTACCGATGAACATGACAGACATTATACTGTAGCTAAAGACAGGCTTTTAGAAATTAAAAAAAAAAAGAGAGAGAGAGCCATATCTTGGTCTTTCAGGGAATAAACCTCACAGCTATTATGTTCACGTTTGTTGTGCATGTACGCAGAAGACCAGATGTTTCACTCCGTGCATACCTTCACTTTCCCCCCCACTCTTCCAGATGGCTGCTGGTGGGGAGGAGCACTGTCACTATGTAATACTGGGTGTCAGCGCAGATGTCAAGCGTGAGTATTCAAAAGATTCGTTCTCATAAACCATCTCATCTCTAGGTGTGTCTTTTCTGTACCATACATGTGGTCTTATGGAGAAATAATGTCAGCAACCAACAAATCATTTTTCAAAATGTGTACTATTGCAATATTATAATATATTGCATATAATATATTGCAATAATATTTTTCAAAATGTGTACTATTGCAATAATCAACTATTCATTACTTTTTTTGCCTCAGCATGCAAATTGATGTACAGTGACTTACTGTACGTCACTGGAAAAAACATGAAAATGATTCTTCATTTCATATAATTATTGTGTAATTGAATAGAGCAGACAAAACCAATGAAGTGAAAAAACACAAGGTCAAAACAATCTGCTGCATGGATATGTCAAATCTTCAGGCTGTGAGAAAGCATGTGGTCAACATGGACGCATTTAATGAGGTCCTAGCCCAAACCGAATGTTCAATCACAACGACCACAGCGCTGACATTTCCTGACCATTCAGTTGGTTTTGTTTCTTTTCCACCAAGAAATGACAGACGTCTGTGTGAGAGCAAGATGTGAGAGTACCACTTGGGCGAGTTAAAAACTTTATCGTTGACTAAATTTATGAAATATTTAACAGACTGCAAATGATGTATTATATTCAAAGTCAAAGCCCAAGAAGCCTTATAGTCAAAAGTCCAAGTCCTCCAGTTCACGTTTAGACCAGAAGTTGACTCATTTTTTGGACCAGGCAAAATGTTTCACTTTCAATGGATTTTCTGATATAGGCAAAAGTCTAGAAAATGAGCAAGCTTCTCACTGTGGTGGTTGGGGCCTGATATGCTGCAATACCCCCACACTCCCTACTTCTGTAGGAGATAAAACGTAAAGATTTGTACGTAGATAGTGATAGATATTTATAATATTATAGGAAAGAGGATTTTAGAAGATTGTCCATATACACAAAAAAGTACTGGAAGTCTCTTTGGGCCAGCAAAAGAGAACATCAATTTGACTCCTAGCCTCCCAACAAAAATGGATGGAGTGAACAAAATTAATCCATGGTTTCTACCAGCAGGAGCCTAACAGCTCGAGTGGAACAGCCATGGTGTTGTCTACTGATATCTGTGCGAGAGACCAGACGCATTTCTGACAAAACAACACAGAGAATCACAATCAAAGGAGGGAACTGCTGTCAGCTGGGTTTCAGCGATCGTGTGGGTTCCTCCAGTCATTTGTCAAAGGACAGTGTCAAACAAGGACTGCGATTCATCATCCATCTAGAAAATTAGCTGTTTATTTTGTCAAAAATTTAAATGATGGGGTGTTCTAGGTGTTTTGATGTTATGATCACAAAAAAAACCTTGAGTTTTGCTCAGAGGCTGAAACAGTGGCAGTTTCAGTGCTACCCCTCGGTTCTACCCCACTGGCATCCTGTACTGACTTCATATCTCATTTTCTGCTTCCGCTGTGCTGTCGCACTTGTGCTGAGTTGATGGGCAGTTGGCTGTTGCCAGGACTGAACTCAAGCCAGAGGAATTTCAGTTTGAAAAGCACCAAGTAAAAGTAAATGCCATCAGATAAAAGGGAAAGGAAGAAAAAAAAAAAGCTAGTTGACAACCACAGGCTTTCTCCCAGCTCCACTCTGCCAGTGCCACCCAGGGCAAGAATGTCACACAAGCTAACACACGCACACACACAAACGTAAAGCCTTTTTTTGATCTCAGTGCAAATCACAGAGACGTCAGTGGTTCAAGGCACTGCCAGATGCAGCATCTTTGTTTTCATCCAACAAGACTGCACACCAAATGGTATACATTTGCGATACACACTGTCAGGCACGGTGGATGAAAACAAACAGCCCTACTATATAGGACTCTTGCATCAGACTAGTAAATAATAACCACTAGACACACAGACACTGTGTTTTCAGGTTTGAGGTAGAACACGATGTGATACAAGATTATCAAACGTCAGTGTCAGTAACACTGGGTAATCAACGTTTCTCAATACTCATGTTACACAGGGTTAAACAAACATCAGAGATTGGACTGGTCTCTCCAACAGAGAGTTTCTGCAGAAAGCCATCCCAAAGGAATGTGGAAACACAAGACATCAGCGATGGTTTTATTGAGCTTGTAAGGATTTAGTAACATCAATCTAATGCCAGGACCCCTCCTTTACCCCCACACAGATCTTGATTTAATATTTAGTGCAGATTAAATTACAGTGAAGCAACCGCTCTAACAATGCACTGAAGGCTAATTGTAAGACATTCAAGCAAAGAATACAAATATTATACTCACTTGAACTGAACTGAACAGAATACAAATATTATACTCACTTGAACAAAATGAAAGATATAATGCCGTCAATGCTTTATTGGAGCGCGGACTGTTTATGGTTATATTTAATTAAATTAATTTTATACCTAATGCAGTTTAGAAAAAGGTAAAAGCTACACCATCAGTACAAAGATGATTTTCTTTCCTCAAGGCACTGAAGGTCCAGTCCTCATCCTCTGGTTAACAAGTTCTATGACAGCTATATAAAACATTTACAGACACACAGAGGGGTATCAAGCCCCAGCAGAGTTCAATCTGACCCCAAGTTAATTCACTTGATTACAAAGCTTGGGAACTCTCGTTGCTTCTTTTTCTCTTTCACTTACCTCATTATCAGTTCAACTAAAACCCCCATCTCTTCAGCCTAGAGTTGGTTTAAATAATCACATACTGACCAAAACGACACATCTGTGTTCATACCCGTCGGTTTTGACAGAAGTTAGGAGGAAGTTTTGTCCACTTGTCTAATCATCCATTTATGGATGCTGGATGATGAAACACCTGAAGGGTGTTCTGAAGTGCTCTTTGGGTCCCATAAACCAGAACAAGGGAGTCTTGGAGATAATGAAATGACTGTTAATGGAAAAGTCATTAGTGCTGGAATGTCAGGTCTGACTTGTAAAGTCAAGCAAAATAAAACTGCATAACGGGCACTTTGGGTCATATCATTAACACCAGAGGCTTTTTCTGCTACCATCAAGAACTGTCATGAAGGAAAAGGATGCACTAGTTCTAAATCACTGATCAAATTATGTCACATTTATTAAAATCTACTTTTCAAAATAAAAAGATCTTAAGTAAAATGACTGCGGATGAAATTTTTAAATTGTCCACTGTGACGCTGAATTAGAATCATTACAGACATTACACTTTGGTTTGGTCAGTGTGTGCCATTTAAAAACAAATGCGGAGAGATTAGCAGATAATCTGAGGGATCCCTAACTTAAAGGAATGCTTCCAAACAGCCGGCATAACTCACTGCTGCTGGAGATAGAGCTGAGCAGATGCTGTTGCTCGTGCATTTGTTGCTCTGGAGGAGAGATAAGTCCGGGTCAGGAATGTCCCCCAGCCTGGGCCAAGCAGGAAAAAAAAATGTTGAAGAGATCGAAGGACGTGACAAGGAAAAGAGTGATGGAGAGGATGGAGGGATTGAATAACACAGAGGCAAAGGGCGAGCCAGAGGGAACAAGGGAGAGTGATGAATGGATGTGAAATGATTGGGGCAGGGTCAGGAAAGGGGCAGAGAAAGATTAAAA